TTCTTCCATCTGTGTTATTTAACCCAATATTAAAATTCTTTACTTAAATCCCAAGACTTTTAATTTATTTCTAAATTGAGCACAAAACTTTTAAAATTTGCAATTTAGTCACTGACCCTGATTTGGGATATTACAGGACCTCAAAATCGAACTCAAGACATTGAAAAACATCAAAAGGGAGGTTTTCGAAAAAAGTCAACATTGGTCAACGATCATCGGTTAACCGGTTCTGTTCGGGCTGGATCAGTTCGGGTCAATAGGTTGGGTCGGATCGAATCAGGCGGGTCGGGTCGACCCGTTTCTAGAAGCCCATCAGGCACACACAGCAGCGACTCGTTGGGGCGCGTGTAGGGCATTCGGGGTTGAAAAATTTTCAAAAAATTCATATATGCATTTTAAGGGGTTTTGAGACACTTACCAAGCTCAGTTCACATAGGTGAATGACGAAGAGTTTGATTTCACAACATCGAAAACTTGTTCTTTCTCACCCCTTCACACATTGGCGACAACGGAAACAAGGCGGACATCGGTGTACTCGAGAGGACCCAAGGAACATGATGGTGAGAGATGTGTCGAAAACGGAACAACGGTTGGCAACAAAACGTTGATTGAAGTTTGCTTACTAAAAGAGGAAAGCTTGAAGGGAGAGAAAATATGATTTCTAAATGAGAAACTTTTGAGATTTGGGGTTATATAATCCCTTAAAAAAGAAAATGGTATAATTGCATAAAAGATCCTTTAGTTTTAGTTACTTTTAGAATTTAGATCTAAATTTAATAAAAGTTTCACTTTGATCTTCAAATTTAGTTAAAATTTCAATTTAGTCCCCAAAATAAAATTTAAGAAAATTTTAGACCCTAAATTAGAGTGTGACATGTTGTGTTTGTTAGGTGATGATGTAAAAGGTATTCAGAAGCAGTTGTTGAATGCGGTTCGACTGATCAGCGACGATTATCTTGAAGATGGAATATATAGGCCTACTGATTGTAGTGTTGGACTTATTGTTCCCCATTGTTGTGTATGAATCTTGTTTTCTATTTATCTTTGAGGGGCTTTAGGTTCCTCATTTTAATTTCGGGTAAACTATACGAATAGTTTCTTATGTATTCGGTGTGACAAATTTTGGTCACTGATTCAAAAAAAGTGGTTTAGTCTATATGTTATCGATCTGTTCAATTTTAGTCTCTCCATCAACTACCATTAACCCTTAAACAAAAGTGTTATGTGACAATTAAAAGAAATCACATTGTTTGTCTTCGTCTTCTTCGATAAAAATTAAAAAGAAGAAAGAATTAAAAAACATAGCACCAATATACTAAACAAAATTCCATGATATCTCTGCTGCCATTTTTTCCACTTCACTCTCTCTATTCAATCAATCTTTCTCCATTTTTAGTCCTAAAACACACTATTAAAGATAATGATTTTTGGCAGTTTGAACCTGGCTCAAATGTTAGCTGGAGCATGAAATGAATTCTTAAAATGAGGGTGGATGCTGTGCCATTCATTTCTAACTCTTTTCTGATTAAGGATATTTGGAATGATATTAGACCTAAAGGACAGAAAGCTCCATGGCATAAGCTCATCTGGTTTCCCTTGCATATTCCGAAACATTCCTTAATCGTGTGGATGGCTTTACAAGACAGATTACCAACTAGAGATCGCCTGCAACGAATGGGTATTAGCACTAATTCAGCTTGCATAATCTGTAATAGCTTTCAAGAAACAACCTTTTTTCTGAGTGCTCTCTAGCTACCCGCTTATGGAACTCTATCTTGAACTTGAATGGAATGAATCCTTCGAACTTGGATTGGGAGGAAACGGTTCATACAGCTATCAACTCATGGAAAGGGAAGTCTCTTCTCACCTTCATTTTGAAAATTGCTTGGTCTGCTTTTATTTATACTGTTTGGCAGGAAAGGAATCAGCGTATCTTCCAGAATCGGTCAAGACCTACTGAAAACTTGCTTAATGAAATCATTGATGCTGTTCGGTTTAGTCTTAGGGGGAAAAACTTCAATAGACTTTATAGTACTAATCTTAACCTATGTAATGCTTGGGGCTTATAGTTCTACCAATCATTGATTTTGTATTGTTGTGCATAGTTTTATTTTGTATTGATTGGTTGATTGGATTGTAGCAAAACTATGTTATTTTGGATAATAAAATTCTTACTTATCCAAAAAAAAACACAACATTCCCTTTGGGTTTTTTTTTTTACAGAAGCACACATACATTTCATACATACAAAGAGAAGGTTGTTTTTTTTATTTCAATAACGGCGGAAGCAAAGGTAATGACAGTGTCCCATGAATCATAAACAACACTAGTTTTCCAGTCAGCATATACTTTACCCAAATCCACCTGCTTCCATACCCAGAAATGACCTTGAATCTGAATTGCAAGGCACCATTGTTTGCATCTCAAACGGCCCCATGGGGTTTTTTTTGACAGAAGCACACATACATTTCATATATACAAAGAGAAGGTTGTTTTTGTTATTTCAATAACGGCGGAAGCAAAGGTAATGACAGTGTCCCATGAATCATAAACAACACTAGTGTTCCAGTCAGCATATACTTTACCCAAATCCACCTGCTTCCATACCCAGAAATGACCTTGAATCTGAATTGCAAGGCACCATTGTTTGCATCTCAAACAGCCCCATAGCTCGAAGAAGAGCTACATCAATGGCTACAACCTCTGTCTAACCGCCTTGGTACAACAGTTTAAGTTGTAGGTAATATGGTTTCTGGCTTGATTCTTTGACTCTAACAGCTAAGTTCTGGTTTTTGTATTCACAAGGTATCCATTGCCTAGGCTTAGTGCCAATGATCCATATCTACAAGCTCCGGCTGCACACATCAAACCCACAAAACGAATGTTACCACCAAATATTTCAGAAAACTATGATCTGGGTATTAATGAACATTGAACCAGGAAAGCTTATTACATCAAAGTGCAGAAACCAAACAAAGTGAAGGACTATTCGTATAATTTACCCTTTAATTTTCACAGAATCATTGGTGGTTTTCTTTGGTAATACGATTATATACATGATTTTCGATGATACATTTTTAGTAATATGTCATGCATGCGTTTGGTTAATATATATGTATATTATAATACAAAACATTGATGGTATGTTTTTTCATGATGTTTATTCAATATATAAACGTATATATTAACGAGAATTTTTTAAAATTTTAAGGAAACAATTGAAAATTTTCAAATATTTAAGGGGTCTAATTTTCCATCTCGAAATTTTATCTTTTTATATTTCTGATTTTTTTTTGTTAAGTTTAATCTTTTTTGAAATTATTTATTTTCTTTGTCATCGTGTTTTCTTTTACCATTCAAATTTATTAGTAACCAATGAAAATCCTAACAATTTTTTTCTTCTTTTATTTGATTTTTGTTTTCCACTTCTTATTATTTTTCTTTCTATTATTTTTTTATAAATTAAAACGATAATTTTCTATTAAATTAAGGGGTAAAATGCACAAATGGTCCCTGACTATAATGTATTGTATGGTTGAATCCCATGACAATTGAAAGTTACAAAATATCCTCCGACTATACGGTGTTGCTTTGTTGAGTCTCTCAACCATTAAAACTTACAAATACTCATCCGACTATTCATATAATCCAAATTCGTATTTTTCCATTAAAAATTTAACACCAATCTAAGCTGAGAGTTAACATGTTTACTGAATATGATAAAATCTGATATAAAAATATCAAACGATAATATAGTTAAAATGGTTATGGATCAAATTTTATTATATTTCAGCCAGCAGGTTAACACTTAGTTCAGACAACTGTCAATTTTTTAACAGAAAATGATGATTTTGGAACATAAATAATCGGGTGATCGTTTTGTAACTTTTAATAATCGAAGACTCAACAATGTAACACCCTATAGTCAAAAGATTATTTTGTAACTTTCAATAGTTAGAGAACACAATAAAATAATTCTTTACAATTGAAGGATCATTTGTATACTTTACTTTAAATTAAATTTGAGATTAATTTTTATCTTAAATTTCAAGATAAATACAACATAACTAAACACGAGACAAAGTGAGATTGGATGAAAGCATTCACCTTTCGAGTTTGAACAACTAAAGAATCAATGAAGAATTCAAAAATATTTTTTTAGAATGGACATATATGTATTAATAATAGAAACATTTTATATGGGATAGGCACAAATAAAATTTTCAGAGTTGGCACCATCAATAAAATTTTCAGATTGAACACCATCAATAAAATTTTCAGAGTGGGCACCATCAATAAAATAAACAGCTAATATAAATAAATTAGAATTTCATGCGCGCACATACTCACCTTTAAGTACACGTATATCTGCCATTGTAAAAAAACGATCCATTCCATGTTATATTTATCTTTCTTTTTGATCTAATTTACTTAAGATGATTTTCTCAATCTAATATTTTTAATATAGAGAATTGTACATGAATTAATTGATTTTAGTAGTTAAAAGATTTATTATTATCCCTTGTCCCGAATTTAAAAGCCGTGTAAAAGATATGAACGCATACTAAAGGTACGAGCTTTCATTATCAAAATGTTGAAATACTTTAAATAGATACTACTTTATATTAACCTAGATTTATATTAAAAGTAAAAAAACAAAAAGAACTGAATCGCCTAATGTTGCTGGAGGGAGATGAGACAAATTGTTGATAAATTGGAAACGTAAAAAATTATTCCGTAACGATAGAAATTTTCTTTTTCGAAAACAAGTTAGCATCCGGAACATAGCATATACAAATATGGTTTCAACATTTATGACGCCTCAGGTGACAAAAAAAAAATAGACCACAGTTTAAACTCCAGACACAGACGGTGGGCTGTTCCAACTCAAAAAACATAGCCGTATCCAACCACAGTGATAAGCTGCCAGCGTCACCTCTGCTTCCAATCAGCCACCTGACATACAAAAACTGTTAAAATACTCTACGACCCTTTCAAGCTTTTCCCTGTAAACTTTGGAAAGGAACATCTGTAATAATTATTTTTCTTCATCCTCCCACTATCTAAACTAGTTTAAAAGCTTCTTCACGTTTCGTTATCCGAACAACGGAGTTGACTACTCTGAGCATACTCTGGCTCGTTGCCTCTTCAGCTCTTCAGACACCACAACGGATGATGACACGTCTCTTTCTGCTAAACATCTTTTGTATGGCACAAACCCCTTACTACATTTTTGGGGCGAGGGACGAGGATGTTGGCTTTTGGAATCAACGGAATTTGAATCCTTCCTATTTACCGGTTCACTAACCGAACCAGTATTTGAACCACTACGGGATCTGTTATTTAGAATGCCCATCTCTCCTGTCCTCTCTTCAACACCAGGATCTGTGTGAGTTTGATTAAATGAAGTAATGTACCCTAAGGGTAGACCTTGATAAAAAGCCCACGACAGAAGAGGAGTGTCATTGGTAGATTCTACAGAGTCATTTTTATCTGGGCAGAATTCCATGTAAGGAGATATATTAGCTCTGGAAGGTACAGCACTCCAGTTATCAATAACTGTACCTAGTGACAAGCATGTGTCTAAGCATGTCGACGGTAATGCCTGAACAAGCATCTTACTGACAGCATTAATATCCTCTTGAGCAGTCTTAGATGTTTGTGACTCAAATTTTTTTGCACCTATGGAAGGTTTAGGGGAATCTTTCAGTTTCACCTCAACTGTTTTCCCGAAAAGCTTAATACTAGTGGACGGAGCAACTGGTGCTGCATCGTCACCTTTAGCACATGCAAAGTCCTTGAAATCTTCATTGAGGTTCTGGATATTACATGAAAGAAAAATATATTAGTCATAAAGGTTGACAAAAGTTCTTTACAAAACAAAGGTAGAGATTTATCGTATAATTTTACCATGGACAAAATGTTTTCCACAACTGAATGACCAAATACTTTCCCAGACGACAAATAAGCTTTCTCTTCCTGCCTAGATAAGTTAGAGGTTGCATGGTCAGTTTCCTTTTCAATAGGGGATGTATTGATCGACTGCAGATTAGTAGTACAAGAAGTTGGGGAAGAACATCCCTTTTGTTGCTCCAAGGCAGAAGATCCCATTGCATCGGATAAAACTGACGTGGGTGATTTGTTATCTTGTTCTCTGAAAAAACGGTTGGCGGTTGACAATCTCTCTGGTTGAGCTGATGGTGCTTTTCCTTTAATCAAATTGACAGATTTCCGGGGATATGGATGTACTGGCTTTCTTTTTGGACGAGGAGGCGGTATCTCAATTGGTTTAATGGAACCCTCAAAGCCACCATTTGAATCTCGGATAACCTAAAACCACAATTAAAATCACGCATATCAGGAACAAACTCAGAAGAAAAACCTGCCTAAGAGTGTCTACATATTGCACGGTAATAGAATATGCAATACATTTTTATTAATCAAGGAATTCTTGGTAATAAGACATTTTCTTAATCAAGGAATTCTTGGCAGTAATATATTTTCTTAATCAAGGAACTCTTGTAACGAAACTAGAAGCAATTAACCTTAGAGAAAAATTTTTGAGCATGGCTTCGAATTTGAACTGCAGATTTGGTGCCTATATGTTCTGCATGAAAACAAGAGTAACTTAACCAGTTCTAACCATAGTTGTGGCAAAAAGAAGTAAATTACTTCACCCCCATCGTGCACTTACCTTCTATTTGGCACCAGCCACGACCATACAACCTTAAAGCTTCAAGAAACTTCTGATGCTCTTCCTCAGTCCATTTCTCCCTCTGTTTGGTTATAGTGTAGGGTTTCCTAGCCTATGTTAAAGGGAAAGAAATAAATTCGAGCATATCCATGAAAAGATTAACAATAACATGTCGAGACCTATCTTGAAAGGAAAGTATAATTAGAAGGCAACATGAAGAAAGGAACCTTGGGTGCATGGTCATCATTAAATGTGTATAACTTCTGCAACTGGTTCAATGTCTCAGATTGGGAGCTACCATTGGAACAACATACACCAGATTTTCGAGCATTGGGCGATGCCACATCTTCAATTTGGTCCTGCATCAGAATTTCCAATATCTATTAAACAACAAGAGAACAGTATTCATGACACTAGTCTCAATGCCACGCTTCCAAACAATAACTGTTTATGCTAAAATCTATGATAATTCACATTGAACCATATTCACCTCCACATAAATAGATTTATGCATAAGAAGCAAGCACACAACTTGGAAGAACAAGAACAGCATGTGATTCCAAAAATTACAACAATCCATAAAACATGGAGCATTTCTGAAGTTAAGATATCCTATCACCCAAACAGAGCGTTTGGCTCAAAGAAATGTATTTGAAATCAATTCCCGATATATATATTTTAGGAAAAGCTTTAATGGACAAATCTGCTTAATCCGAAACCAAAAATCTTATTGAAATTAAAAAATATATAGAATCCATAACACCAACACTGCCCAAGTATAAGCCGCTTGAACAGCACGACAGATTGCTATGTACCTGAGTAGCCATCACCAGAAACAGATTTTTGCTTCAAATCTTTCGGAGTCAATACTAGAATAACTGCTGCAACTCCCGAGGGAACCAAAACCACTCTTCAGAACATCTAATCAGTCCATAAAGAAGAATAACAATCATTAATTAGTCATAGTTATAAACAAACTAATTCAACCTCAAAACAAAACACACAAACACAACTTCTTTCCTCGTCAATGAACAGTAATTCACAAACCACAAATATCATGAAAATATCAAGGCAACCGAAGCATTGTCCGCAAAAGAAAACAGATCAGGCACGTACTTACCGGAGCAAAGGAGAAATCTCGAAAACTGGATAGTCCAGATAAATTGCTTGAAGTGGAAAAAGAGCAGAAGAAGAAGAAGAAGAAGAAGCTAAATGGGAAAACAAGGTTTTTTCTAAAGTTATCGGTTTGGTTTGTGTATAAAAGCAGGGAAGGGAGCCACGTCAGATTCAATTTCCGAATTTTTCAATTTCCATGGAAAAATCGAGAAGTGGGGTCTGGAAGCTTGTGGCTGAGAACGCTCGGGCTCCTGGACACGCGGCATTTCTGGTTGAACTTTGTTTCTTTCTTTTGTTAATAAAAAAATGTGGGTTTATTTTGTGGAAGATATTGAACTATGGGTGAATGGATAATTGATAAATGTAGGGCGTTTTTTCAGATATTTTATGATTTTTAATCTCACGCGCGGGGTTCCTCACTGTCCGCCTCTTTTTGTTTATCTCAACATCCGTCCCACTAGTGAAAGCGCGTGGTTTGCAGCCGCTGGGGGAAAATATCGAAGGGGAGAGAGGGGGAGAGACAAAGATGGTGCTTGCTTGTGACATAAAAGGAAGGTGGGTCCACCAAACCTCCTCTGCGCTTTTCTGCCACATCAGCCCCTTCTTTACCCTAAGCCACGCGTACCAACCACAACCAATACCGCCCATGTAAATTTTGTATAGATTGTTTATTTGTTTATTTTGGTCTCTTTCCGGTTTCTAGACTACTTGATTGTTCAAAATTTTGGGAGTGTAAATGAGTCGAGCTTAATTCGATTCGAAAATTTTGAAATGTAGTTTGATTTGATTAGAAAATTCGTGAGCTTAAAATTTTGAAGTTTAACTCGAATTCAAAATTTTGAACTAAAGCTCGTGAGCAGTTCGAAAATACTCGAAATGAAAAAAAATTCTTAAACTTAACTCGATTAAAGTCTCAAACTCAAACTCTATTGAAGTCTTAAACTCAAACTCCATTGAAGTCTCAAACTCGAACTCGAACCTTAAATACATGAAAATCTTATTGTATTTAAAAAAATCAATACATAAATATTAATATTATTAATAATTTATTTTTTTAAAAAAATAAAATCTTAATATATTATATCTTCGAGCTGCTCACGAGCTTTTCGAGTCTAATATCAAGTAGCTCATTTCGGCTCGTTAAGAACTCGAGTCGAGCTTGAGCTCAAGTCAAATCCATTCGATCCGAGTATTTATCGAGTCGATCTTGAATAGCTCGCGATCTGTCTCGTCTCATTTACAGCACTAGTTTAAATATATATAACATCATGTTATATATTGTAAAATTAATTATATAGATTTATAGTTGTTTGATGAGTGAAAATAGATGAATGAGATTAACAGTAGATATAAGAAGATATTCACCGGAAAAATAAATAAAGAGTTAATCTCAGTCATCTATTTTTACTCATCTAATAGTTCTAAAACTGTATAAAAATAAAGAGTTTTACATTGTGTAAATGAATCTTATAACACACACAGAGAGGTAAATTCAAATCAAAGAAAAATGTTTTAAATTAAATCAATTTAAATTTAATATATATATATATATATATATATATATATAAATTAAAGATAATATATTTTTTTTTTAAATTAAGAAAAAAAACAAAATTTAATATGACGAACTAGATTTGATAAATAATTTTTATAATATTTCTTAGTTATTGATTATGACACCACAGACATAACTTCTTAAATTCAAAACCTTAAAGAAGAATAACATTTTATTTAACTATTAAGATCAATCAATGAATTCATATATACTTATACCTTTTATAATTTCATAGAACTTTTATAATTTTATAGATTTATGAAAAGACTAGTATATATCTACTGTTAAAAATTATTATAATTTTTTTTATCGAAAGAGTTCAATTTATTTATAAAATTGATAGTAGTATCCCAATGAATATATACACCAATTTGTTAATCAAATTTTTGAATATTTAAATTATAAAAATTTAACTCAAGTACTCAATTAGAATTTAAAAAATAAAATAATATTTGAATAAATTGATTTGGTTAACCTAAACTTTTAATTATTTTAGGATGACATTTTGAGTACTTGAATAAAAAATAATTATAAGGCTAGTATTGAAATTGATATAAAATAAAATAAAAATTTGAGGCTTTATTTGTTATTATTGGCATTGAATAAGGCTTTTATTATTGTTTGTAAATATATGAGTAGTAATCGACGATTCCAGAGAATAATAGACACGTGGTTCCGAATACTCCTTACGTGGATGCAATCGCGGATATGATTGGCTTGAATGGCCAATCCTTTTATATTAAAAAAATAAAAAAGATAAATTATATGTTTAGTATTTAAATTATTATTTAAATTTTATGTTAATACTCAAAGTTTTTTTTAAAAAAAATCATATTTAACAGTTTAATTTTTAATTTGATATTTTATCGTTAAAAATTTAATGGTGATATTGACTTGTCATCGTAAGGTAATTTCACATTATCATTAAAAAATTAAAAATATCACATTAATAATTATGTTAATATTTTAACGATGAATTATAAAATAAAATTTTAAACTAAATATTAAATATGATTTTGAGAAAAATAAAATTTGAATAATAGAACATGACTAAATTAATAGTTTAAATGTGTAAGTTAGCCAAAATAAATAAATTTAGGTTACTAATTAATTAAATATTAAAACCAAATAAATAAATTAATAAGCAGAGAAAATGGAGAGCCACAAGCTGGAGAGAGAGGTTGTTGACACTGTTAGATCAAATAAACAAGGACACTGATGTTATCCGCCGCGAGGTTCCCTCTGTCTTCATTATACAAATCATAAATATCGGCTGAAACAGCGATGGTAAAAGCTGTATAAAAATATTTTCTATAAATTTTAAATTTAATTTTATCTAAAAGAGATAAAATTTTAGAAGAATAAAAAGGAGTACTTTCAATAGATTTAGAACTCATGATTTACATAAATACGAGAGAATAAGAATGAACAGTTTAAACAATTGGTTAAAATATTTGTTTGTTTAAAAGATATTAAACAAATTTTATTATTATTTTTGAATTATTTGAGGTAATTATAAAATAATATTAATTTAGATTTTTTTCTTAATATCTAACAATATACCTTATAAATATAACTACTCAAATCTAATATTTTTATAAAAATTAATATTTTATTTAATTATTTAGAACGCCTGAAAATTGCAATTGGATGGGGAGTAGATGGAAGATAAGATATGATGTGTGCATTCATTGATATTCACATGGCAGCACAGGCATGGGTTACCCATTAGAAAAGGAGAGGGAAATTTGAGAGCCGTGAATTTGATACGTTGAAGATCCGAGGCAGAAATGGTGGGAGAATTGGGCAGTGAGCGTAGGCCTCTAATTCCCCCTCCCCCCCTTCTCTCTTCGCCCATAGTCCTTCACATTCCTTGCCTTGCTTCTACAGTTCTACTTCACTTTTCTACTTTCTGCTTACTTCCCTCACGCTCCCCCATTCTCATAAATTAATACCCCTGTTATTAGGGTTAGTTGTATCATATATCTTAAAATTATAGTTCTCATTTTAAATCGATCCTTAAAATTTTAAATATTTCAATTTCATCCTTAAACTATGAATTTCATTCTAAATTAGTTCTTATATTTTTTAGCATTATAATTTTATTCCTAAACTATGATCCTCTTTCTAAATTGATCTCCAAATTTTTGAATATTCCAATTTTATTCCCATATTCATCCAAATATGTAATTAGTTCCAACCATAGTTTAACCTAATATTTTTTTAAACATATAATAATACAACTTGGCCTAATGAGTTTGTTAACAAGGGATTCGATTAGTATATACATATAGTTGGGATGAAATTATAATGTTCAAAAAGTTTGGGGTCCAATTTAGAATGCAAGTCATAGTTTGGGGATGAAATTGAAATGTTTAAAACTTTAGGGACTAATCTAGAATGATAGTCATAGCTTAATGATGAAATTAAAATATTTAAAATTTAGGGATTAATTTAAAATGTGAATCATACTTTGAGGACATGTGATGTAATTAACTCTTTATTATTGTGTGATTTTTTTTATAGCTATCAAATTTGACATACTTGCATCACAAATACTATGTCTAAAAAGCACACCAAAGTTACCTAAATACACCAAATGGTCTAATATAATGGAAATGATAATTTTAAACATATTCAAACATATTAGACATAAAACCAACACAAGTATCATCAAACAACCATATTTACAAAATTTTAACCTTAATATTAACAAGTTTACTAATACTAACAAATAATAGTAATCATGTCTTTTATATCCAAAACCAACATAATAGTCCCCTTCACCATTTTAAGTCAAAAAATTATTTATTATTTGGCTTTCGAATATTATCTTCTGTTGGACCACTACACCTCCACCTCTCATGTCGCAAATCAAGTTTTATCTACAAAATTCAAGTTAATACGAGTGTGAACTTCACAATCTCATTGAATACTTAGGAGAAATCCGATATAAACACAATACACAAGATTAAGTAAAAGTGTATCATGTTCTAACATAATTCATATTATATAATCTAATATTTCACAGTCATCAATATCGTGACATATTATGTCACTTTTCACATTTATCAGTATCATAACAATATAGATTGATATTTGATCACATGTATATATATTAAATATACCTTTTTACTAGCATGTCATACATATCACAATTGATTGTGAAGAGCTTATGCTCAACACCCTTACAACAAACTAACATAGATGATTGTAGCACACTATATCTCATTGAACAGAGCCTTAGTTCTAACATTCCCTT